ATTAACATCTGTAGTGCAAATTCATGCCACTTGGTAGCTATAATGTATTTCAAAGAAAGTACCATGGCATTAACAACTGATATCACCACTTTACCATAGTACCCTCACACTTTGGGTTTTACAATAATGAAAACGACGTATCAGTCTGGAAGTTTATTCACCGGGACAGTGATAACCCTTTAACCATGTTAAATCCTCCAGCATCCCCCAGTGTAAGTACATAATGGACAGGATGACCATGATGTGCATAATCTGGTGACTATTAAACCAGTAGTCAAACCGCCCAGGGCTGAAGCGCTCTGGCAGGCGGAAAATATTGACTAGTCCTCCTAGCAACGCAAGAGTATCCATGGTGAGGTAGAGGCGAAGGGAAGCGGGGCTTCCTCTGCCTGCCCCAGTCAGATGCAAAATAAAGAGAATGAAGCGGAACATCACCTGCCAAGCGAAAGATTGCAGGCGGTGCACGTTACTCTGTGCAGTGACAGCGCAGTGAACACCGCAGCCAGAGAGGAGGAGATATGCCAACATCGCCACACGGCGGGAGGATGGGTAACACAACAAAGTTATGTGAATGATTGGCAGAGCACCTGCAAAAAGAAAAGTACATGGAAATCATTGGACCCTGGCCCTTGAAAGAAGCAAAAATCAGTGTCCCCTGTTGGAAGAAAAAAAACCCCGGCTAAAACCAGCCTAAGTAGTTTGGCTGGTCTTAGCTGGTCTCCCAGCCTGGCTGAGCTGGTCAAGCTGGTTTTAGTTGGTTGGTCAGCTAGTCTCCCAACCAGAAGTGGTCAAAAGCCCTCTAAAACCTAGCCTGCAAACCAGCTATGAGCAGGCTGGAAGACCAGCTAAAACCAACCAACCAGCTTAGGCTGGTTTAGCTTTTTTCTTTTTTTTTCTTTCATTTTTTCCCCAGCAGTGTTGATGCCACAAGAATGCAATTGTGACCGAAGGTGATTCTCCCTCAGAATGCGATTTCGAGGCCCCCTCTTGAAATACAAATGCTAACTTTGTATATTCATGCAATACCATGAATGAGAAAATGTATTTAAAATCTACAGTGTACTGTAAAAGTCCATAATAGGTTTCATACTTGTGGCATATATTCATTTTCTTAAAATTTAGGTTATATGTAATCTGAAGTCATGTTAAAAGTCAGCATGAAATGAAAAAGCAAACTATTTTCTAAATGCATGTTATAAACATGCAAGTGTTTATATTGTGAGTACTGTATCATGAAAATTTTATTTTTAATATATATATGAATTATCATTCATATCCTGGTGAAAACAACAGGCTTCTTCTCTGGTTACATGCACTTGTATATTTACAAATGAAAAAGACGTAGTATTAAATGTATTAAAAATATACTTGAAATTAACGATGCTTCAAATATACTCTAACTGTAGTTCATGAAGTATCAAAAGGACATTTTAAATGTATTTTAAGAAATACACTTAAATTGCACGTATGTCTGAAAAAGCACAATTTAAATATATTTCTTTTTCACCTGGGTATACATGTCACAATATAGAAGAAAATATCTTCAAAATTGTAGTTGATTCATATATAACTGATTCATATTCATAACTGTCCAGGGAGTTTCCCTACCTTCAGCCAGAGATGATGGGATAGGCTTCAGCATCCCTGCGACCCTACATAGGACAAGCTGTTTGGAAAACATATAAATGATGGATAGATATTTACGTAGCTGTATTGCATGAATATATCTGTGTAAGAAACCATATTTTTTAATGGCTCATCAATGTAGTGTATATTACAGTAATCTCTGTCCTAGTCCTAAATTTCGTATCTTACCTAGAGTGTTGACGAGACAGACACCAAACATGTCGAAGCACAGCAGTGTGTCATAAATAGACGCTCCACCCTCATGGTTCATGAAGAGATGATAGAAGACTGAAAAAACAGTGGGAGACAGACAAGCCAAATAATGCACCACTCCTATCCACCACTCATCAACTTCAGCCCATGGGATACTCAAAGGCAAAAACAGCAAAAAGCAGATGAAGGGAATACCTGATGGACAAAACACAGAGAAGAGAATGTGCTACAATATGAGACTGGTTTGATATGAGTGAAATTAATAATTGTGGTAAGAGTTGATACAACGAGCAAGCCAAATGTGTTCACCAACATTTTCTTAATACTAGTGTTTTCAACCAAACATCCCCTGTAAATGGGAGAAGTACTGATTACGGAATAGTACACATTTCTTGATAATATTCCAGTTATATCCTGTGCTACTGCAATAGGATTCCACAATTTGCAAACGTTTGTGAAATTTTATCCCTGCTATATATATTCCACGGTCAAGTCCAGAGTGGGGTGACCGGGTGCTGAGGAGCATGGTGCATAAACGTTTCTAATGCAATAACTGAAGAGTTCCAAACTTCCACTGGCATTAATATCAGAAAAGAAAAAAGATGGGAGCTTCATGGAATGGATTTCCATAACTGAGCAACTACATGCAGGCCTTGTATCAACAAGTAGCCTACAATGCCAAGCGTTGAAAGAAGTAGACTTTGAAGCAGAGGAAACGTGTTCTGTGGATAATGACTCATGCTTTTCTGTTTGCCAGTTTGATGGGTGACTCTGGGTTTGGTGGATTCTAGTAGAATGTTACCTGTAAAGTTTGGTGGAGAAGGGAAAATTGAATGGGGCTGTTTTTCAGGGGTTGGTCTAAGCCTCTTACTTCCAGTGAAGGGAAATCTTAATGCTTCAGCATACCAAGATATATTGCACAATGTCATGCTTCTGGGAACCGTTTGGGGAAAGCCCTTTTCTATTTCAGCATGACTGCACAAAGCAAGGTCTAAAAAGACATGGATGAGTTTGCGGTGGAAAAACTTGACTGGTCCACACAGAGCCGTGACCTCAACCCCTTCAACACCTTTGGGATGAACTGAAATGGAGATTGCAAGCTAGGCTTTCTCATCCAATATCAATGCCTGCCCTGACCTCACAAATGCATAAAACACAATCTCGAAATCTTGTGGAAAGCCTTCCCAAAAGAGTGTAAGATGTTATAAAATCCTTCTTGGTGTATGAGTCAGGAGTCCCAATAATTTTGACCATATAGTGAACTTGATACATCAGGCTTTTTTGGCTTATACAGTATGATTTAATAGAATATGGAGCTCAATAATTGAGAAATGTAGACTTAAACATTCCTCAGCCTGATGTATCATATTTGATACATTTTAAAATGATTAAAAATGTATGGATAATCAGGGATATCTTAAGTTGCTTCAGTCCAGTAAGTGTTCATCTTGTAATATTACTAACAATATAAAAGTTATTTTTAAGTTTACTTTATAAGGATTTCACAGCAAAAAGACACATGTACCACGACCTGAATGGAGACGTTTTTAGAACTACACTAAAATAATGTTTTTTTTTTTGTTTTTTTTACTTGCTAAAAACTATCAATCAGATAACAGAAGGCATGTAGTAGATTATGAAATTTGTGTATCAGATATGATACAGTAGGCTTCAGGGTTAACATGACTTTTTAACATTGAGACATGCCTAAAAAAATTCCAAAGAAAATCTATTAAATGTTTTTTTTTTCCAAAAACTTCCAAAATATTGGTCTATAGAATCTTTACTGCACTTTTACCAATCACAGCAATTACACAGCATCACTTCCAAGACAGCAATTCCCTAACGAGGATTAGATGTAATCTCATGTAATGCTATTTACAGACCCTTCTGAAGAGTGTCACTGGGTGAATAGTGGAGAAAGTAGCCCTAAATTACATTTTCAGAAGGTTCTCCTCCTCTTTAAGACAATCACTGGATTTCCTTGTTTCCCATTAGTGGAATAATGCAGGCATTCTAAATTAATTTTTTACAACCACATAATTCATTTACAACTCCCTTGCTTTACAGCAGATAGTATGTTAAACAAATTCCAGATGTTACAGTACAAATTATGGAGGATATTTTTCATACTATGTGTATAGATGTTCCCAAATTCATTGTGCAGATAGAACAAACTTCGCAGACAGTCTCTGTAAGTGGATATAGGCCGGTATCCTGTCAGGACATACTTGTTGAACTGAAGATGTGGCGGTGAATTCTTAAAATCCAGAAGTTTTGGCCCAGTAAAATAATCCATTGCAGAAAATGTAAAATATGCTCAGGTATCCTTGACCACCTTCCTCACCTTCCCTTGGGAGGAAAGTCTGTAGTCTCTTCAAATGCTTTAAATCAAGCTATAAATACATAGTTTCTAAGAACGTTAGCAAAAGTTGTAACTTTCTGGCACCATATACCCAGTCTCAGAAATACTCACGTGTAGAACTGCAGCAACTTGTTGCTTGCAAAGAAGCTGTGGGCCAATTTACTGCTACTTAGTGTCTTAGCCAATCAGCAGGCAGACTCCGCAGAGGTCAGCTCATGGAAGATTACAGTTCCTTAAGTACAAACGCTATAGCCTACTGGCAGACTGCAACACATGCTTTTTATTTCATATTAAACTGTCGATATGATGAACCTAGTATATCTTTTGGTGCTATGAAGTCCAAGGAAAGCTTCAAAGATTTAAACAAAGCTTAGATTTAGAGTTTATTTGTATTTATTCAAAACATACATGGCATTGCCACAGGAAATTAAAAAGAAATAAATAACAATGAGTTCTAGAAACAAAATAACACGCATCTACATTGAAATGAAAATTACATAAAACATAAAATACATTTTTGTATTCCAAAATTATGGACAAATATGGAATTTAAACGAACAATGACAAGAAAGATGCATAAGCTATAATGATTTATAAACTAATATGTCGTTATTTTTACAGCCAGCTATTTAATTTCAAGCAGGGTAACAAACATTAAAAAACAAAACTAGAGGTTAAGGAGAACAAAAGACTCAAATAAAACCATAGAAAATGTACAACATTCACAGAAACATTAAGTGTAAAGAGAAATCAAGTGAAGATCCACATTTTTGCAATATGAACTTCCACTTCCAAATCATCCTAAGAAAAGAAACAGAGGTATGAGTTGGAAAAAGTGCCACATTGCTATTATTCAAATGATTAAATTTTTATTCATGTTAAATGTATATATGTATTATCCATGCCTTGGTATTTATTTCCAAAGAAACCATTCAATTTGTATTTGCCTTCCTTTCCTGTTAAAAAGAACCAACTTTTAATGCACAAAGTTTGGAAATGATGCTAAATTTACATTTTTAGTTTTATTTTGATAGAAAAAACATTGTGCATTCAATTGTTGGAAAGCGTTAAGTAATGTGATAAATAATTGATATTCAAATAGTTGCATATTTATAATAATGGCAATAAGAAATTATTCTGAAAAATGAATATAGTTTGATAGTCAAGCTGTTATCAATTGCAAATCAACACAATTTAGAATGTGTAATCCCAAGTGTGCATCTATTAGCATTATACCTGTCTGGGAGTTGCCCTGTGGGTGGAAGTGGAACTTGAGGTGCTGCTGGATGTGAATCTGTTGTGGTGGTGCTGGCTGCTGCTTTAGAGTGGGCAGCTCAGGCTGAGAGAATGTGGGTGAGAAAGGCACCTCAGAAACAGCAGACACATCAGGCACAGAGACAGGGGCCAGGGAGGAACCGTCCAGTGTGGTGTCAAATGAGGTGACAGCAGGGATGTGAGGAGCGGGGCCCACAGTGGGAACACCAGGGAAAGAGACAACTGCAGGGCAGTCAAGAAAGAAAATTGGTAGAATGATTGGATTTGACTTATCAATTTATTTGGAATAGAATAATATGGGGCAAGGGCTGGAAATGAATGGAAAATCAAGACAAGGGGGCAAAAAAATAAGTCGGTAGATACTGAATGTATAACATTCATAGAAACATTTTTTACCTTCTGGCTGTACTCTTCCATCGGTATAATCACCCATTCCTTAAACAAAGAGGGTGAAATGTGAGAAATATTTATATGCATATTTATACACTGCATTCATGTAGATAACAAATGCTTGTACCGTATTTGTTTATGGATTGTGCATTCGCCTCTCCAGCTCCTGGAGTATCAGGATGGGGTGGAACCTCTCCATCTCCTGAATAAAAAACGGTCAAAAAATGTCCAGATATCGGATATGTATCTGATTTAAAACTACATTTGGATGTGGCTCAGAATGAAAATTCCTGGATCTCACATGGATTTTTGTGTTTGCATTTAATTTATATTTAATCATTTAGCAGATGCTTTTTTCCAAAGCGACTTACAAAAGAGGACAATAGAAGCACATTTTGTATGTTTACATATGTGCTTCTGTCAGATGCGAGTAAAAACTTACTTGAACGGAGATACACATATCTGAAAGAGCATAGACAAACATGACTAACCAAACTGGTCAATGGATTTCTGTCCATCAATCTCAGGACCTTGGTGCAAAACATCCAGGCTTCTGTTTTCTGTTTAAAAAAAGGATGAAAAGATTATAACTTTCATGAGCTCACAGTAAATTCAAATGACCAATCTTGTATTTTCTTCATTAAACAATAGACAATAATATAATTACAACACAGTATTCCAATAGTTCTTGCTTGATTAACAATTACTAAAAAGATTATGTATATACCTTCAACAGATTGGCCATCAGTCACAGGGCCGAGGAGCTCATATGACACTGCTGGATTACCTGAAGGCCATGTAAACAAAGTCAGAATATCACGCATTACATACTGTGTATTACAGTGATTTTACCATGGTCAGTACAAAACAATTATTAGCCTAACTGTATGCTGTTTGACATGATTCACGTACAGAGGAATGATAAACAGGATCTTTAAACTAGTATGAATGAATAAAGAAACAAGTGGCACCATATTTAGCTGATTTGGCATCGCCACTGAGAGATTCTGGATTATACAAGGATTCTGGAGAACCTACAGAAAGTGGAGAGTAGGGACGTACTTATCAGTACAATATATATATATATATATATATATATATATATTTATTTATATTGTTGGCATTGTCGTGCAACTATCTGTACAAAAAAATCAGCTTTTACCATATTTCCTAGATATAGCATCAGGCCTGAGATCAAATGGCTGACCACCATAATGAAGACCCTTTTGTCCTGAGAGAGTATTACAGTAAAATATATTCACTTTTAGAATTTGTAGAAATAACATAATACAATAATAATAATAAATAAAAAATAATCACCATATTTTCCAGACGACTTGTCACCACCATATCCAAGCGGCTGACCATTGTAGGGTAACCCTCCAAAGTCTGAAAATACAGAAACTCGTATTTTAAAATACCTTCAAAAACAGATGCGCTGTATGACTAGTCAAAATGCTTTTTTAACTCGCCATATTTACCGGATGATTTGGCAACAGATTCCGGTAGAAGAGGTTGAGAGTTGTACGGTAAACTACCATATCCTATTTTGGGGTCAGAGTACAGTGGTGTTAGATAAAGAAAAACAATACGTATTAAACAGCATTTTAGATAATGTTTTAAGATGCAAGGGCTAGGCGTTCCATCACTTATTTATTTGACGTTTAATATTATTTCACAACTACATACATTTTAGTGCAAATAAATAACAAAAAATTGTAGGGAAATATCAAAGCATTTAATGAAATCTTTACCGTGTTTTCCCAGTGCTTGAGGATTGTAGGGTTTGGCTCCATAGCGCTGTCCTTCATTATCTATAGGAAAGACGCATAAATCAGTTTGTCCATTTAGGGCTGCTGCTACGGTCAACATTAACCCTAAATATTACAATATGAAGATGATAACATGCCATATTGTCCAGAGGGGTTGGTTTGATATCCTCTATGGGAACCAAATGGAAGTCCACCAATTCCTGACAAAATAAAACTGCAGTTATGAAAACTGAGCAAAGGACAATGTGCCGCAAATGGACACTATTTGATGAGTTCTTATGAAATTAGCACATAGGGTTGTTCTCAGACTAACCATATTTTGCTTGAGCTTTTCCCTTAGATCCGAATCCCATTGGCTGCCCACCTTGTGGTCCAGCTATCAGAATGTAAATGAATGAATGAATGAAAAAATAACAACTACAAACACATTCAATTAAACAGGTAAATAAAACAATACCATTTGATCAAAAAGTCATATGTCATTGATATCTGTATGATTACTAATTTTTAGTATTTATTTACAAGCAAAACATGATAAAAGCATTAATATCCAAATTGTAAAAATGTGGACAAAATAACACTGGTTTGAAGGATTTACTCCATTATTTATTTACTTGTAGGTAGCATGGATATGATATTGCACTAATAGGCTAAATCTCGGACTAGTGACACCCCAGCATATAAAGACATCAGATGAAATATTTATTAAATGTACATGTGAATTGTGTCTATCTCCACAACGGATATAAGAAATATCCATGAAGTAGGGTATTCCTACCTGGCTTATTGAATTTGTTTCCATATCCTTCATAACCTGTAGAGTAACGACAGAAAAAGAAAAAAATCACTTTTAGACAAGTAGCTTGATCTACAATTGTTTAAAAAAATAATAATAATAAAGAAAGAAATTATAAAGCTGAAGCCAAATAATAAGTCAAGTAAATTACAATAAAATATGTTTTGAAATAATTTACCTGCTTTGTAGCCATTGTTAATGCCATGAGCTGGATAACCACCTGCTCCAAAGCATAGGGACAGAATTAAGACAATAATCTTATGCACAACATAAAGAAATCTAATATGTACTCCTTTTGTTTTGTTGTATAGGCGTAAACAGTTATATAGGCCCCCCCCCAAAGTAACGTTGTATCCTTTGTAATAAAATGCTATGTACTGGATGCATGGATGCACAGTTAATATTTATTTTAATGTACCTGGTTGAGATGACACTTCTCCTTTTCCGTTGGGGTACCCTGAACCTGCAAAACACATTTTTAGTTTTAGTCTGACTGCTTTCTTCATAAAAATTAAGGAGTCAAAGCTAAAAGACTAAACTTTAAAATTATTTTATTTATATTTAATTGTGCCTTTTAAACATCAAGCTTTTGGTAAGCATCCCATGAGTTTGGTCAGTTTTTTAAATCATTTATATGACAACAAACAAGTGGAAAAGAATTAGAGCTCACCAGGACTTGGAAGTTTGACCCATTGTCCATTAGGTCGTCCACCAGGTCCACAATCTAAAAAATAATAATATATAAATTTCAACATTTAAATATTTTGTAATAAACCAAAACTTTGGTTTATTACTCACAAACAAGTTATAAATAAAACTAAAACTGACTTATAAATGGAAGATGCCCTAATATCACTAACAGAGTTGTTAAAATGTGAAGTGAAGACCCACTTGCATAATGTATTACAAAACATATTGTTTGTAAAAGGCTTCCAAAATAAATTCTTTTTTTTAAAAATTATTAAATCTCTCTACACTCTTAAAAATAAAGCTTTTTTATTTCCATCTGTGGTTCCACAAAGAACCTTTAAGATCTATGAATCTTTTCAAAGCAGATTTATTTATTTATTTTTAAAGAGTGCAGTCAAATCTTTAAAGATCTGTTGTTGCACTTTAGTGGTGGAAGGTAAATCAGCACATTGTACTAAATCAGTACTATAGAGGTTTACCAGGATTTGTTGTTGATGGATTCTTCATTTGAGGCAAAGCTGGGTTTGACTGAATCTTGGTTTGTTGCATCTCTGGAGTTATTTGAGGAACAGCTGCATTTGGCACCAGAGGCACCTGTGAAGAAATACTGCCTTGTGGCGTAATTGGCTGTGGTATCACTGGAGTGACGGTTTGTTCCTGTGACAGCACTTGTCCCTGCTCTAGTGCAGCTGTCTGTGATGTTTGAGGATAACTCGTCTGAGGAATAGGAGCTGATTCTGGTGCAGGAATTGCTTGAGGGATTGCTGGTGCAGCTGGCTTTGAAGCTTTGTTTTGTGGAATTACAGGTGTGGGTGGTTTATAAGCTTTACTAGGTTTATAAAATCCTGGACCTTGCATAAATGGCTTTGGAGCAGGCTGAGGTCCCATAGAGTTCCCGACTTTGCCCTGTTGAAGTGGTGCATTAAGATTTTGTCCTTTCGTTTGTTGCAGGAGTGGTGGAAGGTCTTTAGTTTGTTCTGGAAGCAATCCTGTATTTGGCACACGCTCAGCTAGTGGTAAAACACCCTTGGTGTTAGATGTTAGTGGGAGATGACTTGATGCTTCAGGGCTTAAAATCTCCCCTTTAGGTCCTTTTCCACTGGGAACACCCTCTTTCCCAGCTGTTACAGGCATATATCCTAGAAGCCAAAGCAGTTTTACTACACACTTACACAACCCAATATGACAAATTCACATGCAGAGACATACATGTATGACAGGTTATAAAACTACAATTATCCGTGTCATGTGGTAGTAGTAGATAAAATTACTTAAAGTACTCTCAATAATAATGATTTACCTGAATTAGCTGCTTTATAAGGTCCTTCTGACATATGTCCAGGAACACCGTAACCTATAGATCATAAGAGTGTAGATATGAATGAAGGTTTTACTTTAGATGATGTAGAGTTTATTTAAAACTGGACCTAATGCAGCTATCCAAAAATGAACTGTAAAATTCTGCACACACTGGAAAAAAGGCAAAACATTAAAAATCACAACGGACACAAGAGGTGCCTACAGACCTGCTTTACTGCTAATAATCAACTCCTCCACCAGTAACATTGTTTATTAATCTAAATGGGGCTACACTACAATTGGAGTTAGGGCTGCACGATAAATTGAAATGGAATCGAGATCGCGATTCGACAGAAGCTGCGATTGTCATGCATTGGAATATTTAAAAAAATCAATTAACATGCAATCAACGGTGTGTATATCGTACATTTTATCGTACACTTTGAAAATAGCTTATTCAAACTGTTTTTAGAGTCAATATGTGACCCTGGACCACAAAACCAGTCATAAGGGTCAATTTTTTGAAACTGAGATTTATACATCATCTGAAAGCTAAAATGTGTTATTAAATGTGGTATTTTCACATGCTTTCAGATGGAGCAGCATTTACTACACAGAGCCGTAGTTCACTGAGAAGCTATGCAAACAGCTGTCATTATCGCGAACGATTTCTTCGATTTCATAATCGCGCAATAAAATCGTCTGCGATTTTTTTGCGTAACTTGTCAGTGAACTATGTGTAGTAAATTCTGCTCCATCTGAAAGCACGTGATGATGATTTCCTGCTGATTACAGAATCGGCTTTACTAACAAAATGCGCATGACAATCGCATTCGATTAATCGTGCAACCCTAATTGGAATATTTAAAAAAATCAATTAACATGCAATCAACGGTGTGTATATCGTACATTTTATCGTACACTTTGAAAATAGCTTATTCAAACTGTTTTTAGAGTCAATATGTGACCCTGGACCACAAAACCAGTCATAAGGGTCAATTTTTTGAAACTGAGATTTATACATCATCTGAAAGCTAAATACGAGTAACTAAGCTTTCCATTGATGTATGGTTTATTAGGATAGGACAAGATTTGCCTGAGATACAACTATTTGAAAATCTGGAATCTGAGGGTGCAAAAAAATCTTCCAAATTAAGTTCTTAGCAATGCATATTGCTAATCAAATATAAAATTTTGATATGTTTATGGTAGGAAATGTATAAAATATCTTCATGGGACATGATCTTTTTCTTAATATCCTAATGATTTGTGCCATAAAAGAATAATCGATCATTTTGATCCATACAGTGTATTGTTGGCTAATGCTTCAAATATACCCATGCTACTTATGACTGGTTTTGTTGTCCAAGGATACATATATGTTTTATAATAGTAATAATCACATGCTATTTACCAGGCTTGGCTCCTTGTCCAATTGAGGGTCCAGCTTTAGCACCATATCCTAAAGCAGAACCAACATACATTCAAATGATATGGAAAAATAAGACGAAGGAAAAAGAAATACACACCATACGCATAACTACACAACGTTTACCTGGTTTAGGTCCCTTGGTTCCACCATTGGGATAACCCATATTTTGAAGAAAAGAGCCTAATTAGAGAGAAATACTTCAGACAAGTGTAATATCCACAGTTCTTTTCAGAATTCAGTATTATCCACAATGTAATAATTACACTTTACTGTAGAATCTAATTAATTTAACAAAAAAAATTGATGACATCCAATATATTACCTGTATTAGGTTGCCTAGCTGCTCCTCCATTAGCATATCCTCCATATCCTGAACAAAACCCCAAATCAGTTAAGAGGTGATTCGGTTACTTAAATTTACAATAAAGATGTTTAGTGTTTTACTCCTAATAAACAACTCCACCAATTATAAAGATTATTAATCTAAATGGGGCTACGCTACAGTTGGTGTATCAATATAGAATTCAATTAATGTGCAATCAAAGGTGTGCATATAATTTTCACAGTGGCTTGGCCTATCAAACGATATTTCAGAACCTCAAACTGTATATTTTATATTTATATATTTTATAAGAGTAATCACATGATATTTGCTATTAAGCTTGGCTCCTTGTCCATTTGAAAGTCCAGCGTTAGCACCGTATTCAGTGAAGAAGACCCAACACACAGGATTCAAATGATATTGAAAAATGAGACAAAGAAAAAAAATACCACATGCATTAGCATTACACAGAAAAAAAAGTTTACCTGGTTTAGGTCCCTTGGTTCCACCATTGGGATACCCCATATTTTGAAAAGAGCCTAATTAGAGAAACATACTTCAGACCAGTGTAATATCCTGAGTTACTTTCAGAATTCAGTATTAACCACAATGTAATAATGACACTGTAGAAACAAATTTATAAAAGCTGGATAAAAAGCTGGTGACATCTAATGTACTACCTGTGTTAGGTTGCCTAGCTGCTCCTCCGTTAGCATATCCTCCATATCCTGAACAAAACCAATCCCAAATCAGTGTTTTATTCCTAATAAACAATTCCTCCATCAATAATATAGATTATTAATTTAAATGGGGCTACACTACAGTTGGTGTATTAATATAGAATTCAATTAAGGTGCAATCAAAGGTGTGCATATATCATATTTTACAGTGGCTTTAACATGGCCTATCAAACTATATTTTAGAGCCCTAAACTATATGTTTTATAATCATATGATATTTAGCATTAAGCTTGGCTCCTTGCTCTTTTGGAAGTCCAGCTTTAACACCATACTCATTGAAGAAGACTGAACTGGATTCAAATGATATGGAAAAATTAGACAAAGGAAAAAGTAATACCGTATGCATAACAGAAAAAAATGTTTACCTGGTTTAAGTCCTTTGGTTCCCCCATTGGGATACCCCATATTTTGAAGAGAAGAGCCTAATTAGAGAAAAAAATACTTTAGACCAGTGTAATATCCCAGTTCTTTTCACAAAGTTGGTGACATCCAATATATTACCTGTATTAGGTTGCTTAGCTGCACCTCCGTTAGCATAACCTCCATATCCTGAACAAAATCAATCCCAAATTAGCCCAGAGGTACTCCAGTTACTTCAGTTTACAATACAGACCCAAAACAGACCCTGCTTTACCCCATCAAAGAACTTGTCCACCCATAATGTACATTATTAATATAAATAGGGCTACACTACAATTGGTGTATTAACACAGAATTCAATAAATGTGCAAAGATGTGTGTATAGTATATCCTAGCCTATATTTCACAGTGGACTTGTATGTGGCATATCAAATCTTATTTTAAAGTCAAAAACTATGTTTTCTAAAAGTAATGATCACATGCTATTTAACATTAGGCTTGGCTCCTTGTCCATTTGAGGGTCCAGCTTTAGCACCATATCCTTTAAATCAGACCAAACAGATACGATTTAAATGATATGGAAGAATAAGACAAATGAAAACACACCATGCATTCCACACACACACACACACACAATTTACCTGGATTAGGGCCTTTGGTTCCACCATTGGGATACCCCATATTTTGAAGTGAAGAGCCTAACAAGAGAAAAAATACTTTTGACTATCCTCACTTCTTTTCAGAATTCAGTACTTCCAATATTGTAATAATTACACCGTAGAATCAAATATATACAAAATTCCTGGTGACGTCAAATATATTCGGGTAGTATTACGTGGCTTAGCTGCACCTCCATTAGGCTATGCTCCATATTCTGAACAATACCAATCCCAAATCAGTTTAGAGGTGCTCCAGTTACTTCAGTTTACAATATAGGAACTTTAGTGCTTCACCCTTACTAAACAACTCCTCCACTAATAATACAGATTATCAAACTGGGGCTTCACTACATTTGGCGTATTAATGCAGAATTCAATTAATGTGCAATCGAAGATGTGTTTATATCATGTAGTTATATCATGTGGCTTTGAATGCAGCATATTAAACCTGATGTTAGAGCCAAAAATTATGTTTTATAATAGTAATAATCAAATGCTATTTACCATTAGGCTTGGCCTCTTGTCCATTTGAGGGTCCAGCTTTAGCACCATATCCTTTTGAAGAAGAGCCAATACAAATAAGATTCAAATGAACAAATTAGACAAAGAAAAAAGAAATACACATCCATTACACACACACAAAGTTTACCTGGTTTAGGTCCTTTGGCTCCACCATTGGGATACCCCATATTTTGAAGAGAAGAGTCTAATTAGAGAAAAAAAATATTTTAGACCAGTGTAATATCCTAGTTCTTTTCACAAAGTTGGTGATATCCAATATATTACCTGTATTAGGTTGCTTAGCTACACCTCCGTTAGCATAACCTCCATATCCTGAACAAAATCAATCCCAAATCAGCCCGAGATGCTCCAGTTTACAATACAGACCCAAAACAGACCCTGCTTTACCCCATCAAAGAACTTGTCCACCCATAATGTACATTATTAATATAAATAGGGCTACACTACAATTGGTGTATTAACACAGAATTCAATAAATGTGCAAAGATGTGTGTATAGTATATCCTAGCCTATATTTCACAGTGGACTTGTATGTGGCATATCAAATTTTATTTTAAAGCCAAAAACTATGTTTTCTAAAAGTAATGATCACATGCTATTTACCATTAGGCTTGGCTCCTTGTCCATTTGAGGGTCCAGCTTTAGCACCATATCCTTTAAATCAGACCAAACAGATAAGATTTAAATGATATGGACAAATAAGACAAATGAAAACACACCATGCATTACACACACACACACACTTTACCTGGATTAGGGCCCTTGGTTCCACCATTGGGATACCCCATATTTTGAAGTGAAGAGCCTAATAAGAAAAAAAATACTTTTGACTATCCTCACTTCTTTTCAGAATTCAGTACTTCAAATATTGTAATAATTACACTGTAGAATCAAATATATACAAAATTCCTGGTGACATCCAATATATTCAGGTAGTATTAGGTGGCTTAGCTGCACCTCCATTAGGATATGCTTCATATTCTGAACAATACCAATCCCAAATCAGTTTAGAGGTGCTCCAGTTACTTCAGCTTACAATATTGGAACTTTAGTGCTTCACCCTTACTAAACAACTCCTCCACTAATAATACAGATTATCAAACTGGGGCTACACTACATTTGGCGTATTAATGCAGAATTCAATTAATGTGCAATCGAAGATGTGTTTATATCATGAAGTTATATCATGTGGCTTTGAATGCAACATATTAAACCTGATGTTAGAGCCAAAAATTATGTTTTATAATAGTAATAATCACATGCTATTTACCATTAGGCTTGGCCTCTTGTCCATTTGAGGGTCCAGCTTTAGCACCATATCCTTTTGAAGAAGAGCCAATACAAATAAGATTCAAATGACATGAACAAATTAGACAAAGGAAAAAGAAATACACATCCATTACACACACACAAAGTTTACCTGGTTTAGGTCCTTTGGCTCCACCATTGGGATACCCCATATTTTGAAGAGAAGAGCCTAATTAGAGAAAAATAATTTATGAACTGAGAAACCAAAATTTCCTTGATCTTTTCACATATAAGAGGTCATTGTACTATAAAAAAAAACATTCTGTTCATTTCAGAACTCAAATTCTTTCTCATTAATCTAAAAATATCTTATATTGAAGCCAGTGAAACCACCATGCTGGCTAGTTCCTAGAACTAAGTTCCTAAAACTATGCGGTGCGAAAGTGCCTTATGAATACCATTGTAGCCAGTGCCCTATCATTGTTCCAGCTGTCCATTAATAAAATCTTTAGACATCTACTCAACCATTATGTCACTGTGTACATTATTGATATTCTTGTTTATTCGCAGTCCAAGGAAGAACATGTACATTATATCAAGAGAGTACTTACTCATTTACTTAACCAGTTGTATGTTAAGGCAGAGAAATGAGAGTTCCAAACCAAACCAAAGTAAAATCATCACAGATTGGCCAATTCCCAAAGCTGTCAAGCAACTCTAAAGATTTCTTGGTCTTGAAATTTTTACTGAAGATTCATTAGGGATTGTAGCACCATTGCATCTCTTATTACCTTTCTAATCAAGACTATTTGCGTGACAGCCCCAATACGCAAACATCCAAGTTCTCCTTATGTTTTTGAAGTGGATGCTTCTGATTGTGGCACTGGAGCAGTTTTCTCTCAGAGATATGGTACTCCAGCTAAATGTCAACCTTGTGCTTTCTTTTCCAGGAAGCTTTCACTTGCCGAATTACACTACAATGTTGGCAATAAGGATCTTTTGTCCAACAAGTCTATGTTAGAAGAATGGAGGCACTGGTTGAAAGTAGCTCACCACCCATTCTAAATGATCACAGAACATAATAAATTAGAGTCTATCTAGCCTGGGAGATCCTGGATTCAAGAGGAGAGGAAACCAGATGCAATACCAAATGTATTGGGAGGGATAGGGTCCAGAGGTGAGATCATGGGTTGCAGCCAAGGACATTATGGATCCATCACTCATTAGAGACCACATCATCGATACCATCCAGATCATCTGGCACCCAGTCCTAATGGACGTCCTAGCAAAAGAACCCCAGGAAGTGTTCCTAGGAAGAGATTCTGCAACATCTAAGGCTATGGACCATACATCCAGCCAACATAGAGAGGTATCACCTGAATTTGATTCAGTTTCACTTCAGGGTTCATGTGTTACATTTCTTATTATTCTGTTTTGTCTCATGCATATGTGTAATCTGGATTGTTTGTTTTGTATAATCTTTTCTTTTCAATAAACTTCAGCAATGTGCAATCAAAGGTGTGCGTATATAATATATTTTACAGTGGTTTTGAACATGGCTTATTCAAACAGATTTTAGAGCTAACTATGTTTTATGTTATACTAAAAAAACTGTTTTATAGTAATGTTTTATAATAGTAATAATTACATGCTATTTACCATTAGGCATGGCTCTTTGTCCATTTGAGTATCCAGCTTTAGCACCATATGCTGTAATGCAAACCCAACACATAAGATTCAAAATCAGACAAAGGAAAAAGAACATACAAATTACACGAAACGTTTACCTGGCTTAGGTCCCTTGGGTCCACCATTGGGATACCACATATTTTGAAGAAAAGAGCCTAATTTAAAAACAAAAGAAAAAATATTTTAAACCAGTGTAATACCCTCATTTTATTTCAGAGTTTAGTATTATCCACACTGTAATAATTATTCTATAGAATTAAATGTAAAAAAAAAAAAAAAAATTAAATACAAATGGTGACATTCAATATATTACCTGTATTGGGTTGCCTACACTCTTAAAAATAAAGGTGCTTCACGATGCCATAGAAGAACCTTTTTGTCTAAATGGTTCCATAAAGAACCTTTAACATCTGAAGAACCTTTCTGTTTCACAAAAGGTTCTTTGTGGCGAAAGAAGGTTGTTCAGATTACAAAAAGGTAAGAAAGAGATGGTTCTTTAAAGAACCTTTGTCTGAATGGTTCTTCTATGGCATCGCTGTAAAGAACCTTTTAAGCACCTTTATTTTTAAGAGTGTAAATGTAATTTGTTGCCTTTTGAAAAAAAAATTTTCCCCAGGCATGCAAGTAATTTTTATTTTACTAAACAAAAATGTTTTGTTTACAATAATAACACTGCCACTAAGCCAACTGCAATAATAATAACAATAATATT